AATGATAATAATAATAATAATAACAACAAGGAAAAAAACGACAACAAGAAAAAAACCAATAACAATGATAATGATAATGAAATAATAATGATAATAATTATAGCATTTGCACTGTGCACTTCCATTTTCTTTTTAAAAATACTCAATGCACATTACATTGAAAGAAGAAAAATCACATTTCAAAATTACTTGACAGGTATAGACATGGATCATGATTCAAAATTTTTAAAAAGAAGAAAAATTTTGAGACAGTTTGTTGTTGCATGAAAATTCATAAACTCAAAGCAATTTTTTATTTTTCCTGTTGTGTGTAATTAATTTCAGAATATAACTTCTGGACGTTTTTCAAATGAACCTTCAGAATTGCTGAAGTACCACTTCTAAAAAAGGATGATATATTTTGATCAAAGACATTATACAGAGCCCTCCCATCTCTGTATGATCAATGATGCTCAATAAAATGTTTATCTGGATGAAGGGCCTGTTGTCCATTTCATACTTATAAACACATTCCATATACTCCCTCACCGCTTATGGGAACCCAAAATAGCTTTAAAAAATGAATCAGGGGAAAACAACGGCAGGCAAAAATGTTCCAAAACCTCTCCAGCAATGATTTGTATATTTTTGAAATGGCTGTAATTTATATTGAATGCTATACATTGCTATTTAGATCAGCAGCACAGTCTTTTGTTTCTTCTTCCTTTCTTCTGTCCATTTTCTCTCTCATTCAGTCATTTTGAAGTGAACCTATTTTATCCATGTGGTTTATAGGAAGGCACCACTTGTAGTCCCTACTTCTTTTTTTCCCCCTCAATTATTTCTGTCTTTGTTTTATCTTGCATTAAAAGACCATGGTTGTGTCTATATGATTTTCAGTACTTGAGACCATCCTCATCATCATCATCATCATCATCATCATCATCATCATCATCATCATTGCCTTTCTCTCCCTGCACCAGGGTATAGGCCACGGACAAACACCTTCCACCTTTCTCTATCCTGGGCTAGCCTCTTGATGTTATTCCATGTCTCCCCACTTGAGACCATCATTGTGTTTATATCATTTTCTGTACTTGACCTGTTTTTTCTTTCTTCAGGTGGGAATCATGTCTATGGATTACCCACTTGTCAGTTTCCAGGAGGGCAGCAAGAATGCCATGAACAAACTGCTGGATATGGTGAAGGTTCACATTCCCAATGATGCAGAGTTGGTGCGGAGACAGGAGGAAGAGGAGAGGAAGGAGAAAGAAGCCAGGAAACTAAACATAAAGGAGCAGCAGCAGCTCTCATTTCAGGTATTATAGCTATGTTCTTATTCTGTCCACATGGTTTTATGCATCCCGCATAATTTAGCAAAATTTGATCATTTTTTGCATAATTTCTGATTATTTTCCTTTATCATTCTTTGTTAAAATTAACAAAATTGCATAATTTCACATTTTTGGGCTCAGTTTGCACAATTTCAGAATTTTTCTTGCATAAAACGAAGGGGACAGCTTATTCAGGTGTTTGTAAATTTATGTATGTATACAGGCTCCAGCTATCTAGGTTAAGTTTTGTTTCTGTCAGTCATTCAAGTATGCAAGAACCACCAGTTTATGATGCTGTTGGAAACACTTGTAGGAGGGAGTTACTGTGGAATGAAGGCTGTGAAATCATTGTTATGGTTTGCTAAATTATGTGTTCCTGATATTTCCAAGTATCAATAGTGAAAATGGTTTTGAGATTCCCCTCAAACTTGGTTGACATTTTTGTGATGAAGTTGTTAAATTGTACAATATCCATACTTATCAGGGAAAGATCAGGGAAATGTAGCTTTTTTGAGAGCATCCGAGCTTAGGAATGAGTGGAGAACCATGATCGCTGATGTCTGTCGCAGATCTGGCACTGGATGATGATGTATGATGAAGTAGCAATCAGAATCATAAAATATCCTTCTCCCCTATTTCTCCCTTTAAAGAGCGGTTCAATGCTTATAATCAATTGCAAAATCCACACAACACTATTTAGATTGTTTAAGAGGTGGACTGCATTGATCCTTGCTGGCCAGGGCCATCCTGGACTGAGTGGGAGAAGCTTGGGGTGAAAATAAATTCTGACCATCTATTCGTCAAGTAAATTAAAAACATATTTTGTGTATTTTGTCATGGTAACTGAAATGTGACCCCTCTGATGTTGTGTTCAGTTAATCTACCTTCGCTCAAGGCATGCCTGTTTTTTACAGTCCGCATGTCTTTTGGTGCTTTGGTCAGCCTATGTTTTGCTCTTTCAAATGATCAAGTGAGCAGAGTAGCTGTTGTTTAAATTGTGTAATAATAAAGATCCACTGAGAATGTTCTTTCCTTTACTTTCCAGGAACTTTGTGAATTAGCCCAGCGAAAATTTCTCCGCCAAGTGAGCCAGTACTCAGATACTTTGGATTCCAATCAGTATCCCAACTTGCTACTGGTTGATTTCTATCCTGAGGAAAAAGGTAATTAGTGAAATGAAGAAGAATAAATGTAAGAAGGGCTTTAGGTTTTTTTGTTTTCGTCTAAAATTGCATGATAAGACTTCTTTTGTTGTATAACATGAAGAAAAAATAGAAACATGAAATGGTGCAACCAGCACTTTATTTCTTTCACCTTGATAACCATGACTGAATATTATGTGTTCAATATTGCTTAGTGTCACAGCCTTTGAATAATTCTCAATAATTGTGTGTTCGTTTGCTTTAGTGGAGGTTTTACGGCGCTCGCAATTGCATAAGGTCATATGAGCGCCAATAATTGTGTGTAGATTCATCATGTAGTATACTGATCTACTCCGTAAATTCTTGCTTTTTCTTTGCAATACAGGGCAAGAAGAGTTTGACACTGTTCAAGTTCAAGGAGACAAAGACACTGCCTCAGACCCATCATCTGAGGGAAATTCCTCTCAGAAATCAGATGACAGGTCGAAGGTCAACCAGCCAGTGCCTGAAAAGGAACCTAAAGATTTTCACGAGATGAAGTTTAGTGTTCGTCTGCTATGTGAACATGAAGAGGTAGAGGAGCTGTCTGTTAATGCTGCAGAAAGTACTATTATCATGAGGATTATCACTTATTGCAGTGGAAAGAAATTTGAAAACTGACACCATACATTTTCAGAAATAAAATAGAATGCCCTGTGTTAAACCCTGAATACTTAATAATTGTTTTCATCTTCATATCATTATGAGCTCTCTTGCAGCTCTCTTGGAAATCTGAATTTGTTGTCACATTAGGATTCTGAAACACAATGAGCACAGATCTTGGATTATAAGATAGACTGCTTGTCTGTTTCAACAAATTCAATAGCCATACAGGAAACATAGAACATTACCAGGATCCTTGTAACCGTCAGCGTCACCATTGTCATCCTCATCATAGCCCCCGGTAGAGCTAAAAGATATTTTATACATATGATAAGTTATGAGCACTATATTAGCAGTCCTACAGGCTAAATGGATTTTGGCCAAAATTTTGACAACATCTTATTGTTAGCTCTTGTCCAAAAGCTAGTGATGTATGAATGGGAAAAATTGCTTTGTTGAATCTGGGATGGTGTATGGCCACATGAATAAACCACTGGTCAAAGATCCAATCAATGAGTTGAGGAGGGGAGATAAATCCATAATATTCCAAACTTAGAACACAACATGTGCCCCTCAGTTAACATCTCAATTAACCAAATTGGAGTAAAGCAGTCTGCTATGTGACTACCCTTCAGAGACAGTGGAACATCATCTGTTACTCTTCTGTAGAAAACTTACCGATTTGAGAGGATGTTTTCTCCTCAAGCTACCCCACACATCTAATTGCCTCTACTCCTGAAGACAACAATTAGAACAGACATGCAGTTATTACAGAATGACATCATGCAGAAGAGTTAACGCTCAGATGCAATTGGATCGCTAACAACAGCAACAACAAATTGTGTATTTAGAAGCTACATTTTTTTACAGTAATTTCTAGCTTTGCTCTTTGATATACATAAAGCTTTGTTTTTTACCTCTGCTTTTGTCCAGGGTTGGCATGTTACCGGCAAACCAATTCTTCTGGACAAGAACTTTGGCCACATCATTGAGCAGTATCTACCTTACATTGCTCGAATCACTGCCATTGCCAAGTACAGCAAAAGAATTGCTCTCCAGTCTGCAGCATCAGATACTGGCCGCAAGTATCTCAAGTGGCTTGAAAATGTATGTAAAAAATGGTAAACCAAGATGGGAGATTAGCTGAATATGTGCAGCAAAGTTGACCTGATTTCTCTAGAAATGTATTTCTTGAAAAATGTTGCATTATTTTGTGAGTTAAAGTACTCACTGTTTTACTTGTGGCATAGATAGTAAAGCATTTTGGATTTTGCAGGAAAGTTCACACTCTCAAGGGAATTGCCATAATTATTATTTTATCTGTGAAAATCATTTTTAAAATGTGTCATGACGTGGTGGAATCAGGCGTTCGTCATTTTTTGGGCATGTGGAGTTATTGATATCGTCTGAAAGCTGATTTATTTGCCTTGCTTCCTATGAAATAAATATCCATTTATCTTGAACAGAACTCAAGATATCTGCAATTGAAGGAAGTGAGGTCGCCTGGTTTCAGTGGTGAAATGAAGGAGAAAATGGCCACCAAAGTTTGGTAACTCCAGTGGCTAAAGAGTCTTTGAAAACTGAAAACTTAAATATTTCGTGGCTTTAATCAATGTTTTCCAGTAGAATTCACATGGAGATGTGTTTCTATATGGACGTAAAAGAGGTTAAGCCTAAAAAAAAATTTGACAAAAATTTCCAATTTGGTGGAAAAATGCCTGTTTCTCCGATTTCATTATTTTGACGAACGCCTGATTTCACCACGCTGCCTCACAAATTGTAAAGAAGTAAGTGAAAGTTACAGTTTAGTTATTTTCTGTAAAGGTCCTTGGACTGCAAAGTCAAACTTGCTCACAATGAAAGAAAAAAAGTTAATGCAATCCTGAATGGGTAACTTTTCCCAATACTGCAGCATTTGTCACAGTCAGTCCTAGAGAACTTATGTACTGGACAAGGTCAAATCTCACTAGTCAGTGTTTCAGAATTCTTTTGCGTTTAAGCTCCTAATCAAGAACATCAACTTTTGATTGTAGTCTTTTACAGATGCCTTCCCCATAATCAAGCTGGATGAAATCATATAAGGTCAAATGATTTTAATTTATAAGCACGCAATGATCAAAAATCTACCCTGAACATTACTGTAAGTAAGATTTATAGCTACTTGACAAGCAATTTAGGTCACTGTAAAGTTAACAGAGGGTTTGAATTTGGCTTCTGGCAACATATATACCTACTCTACTCATTTCTGTTCTATGTTTCCTGTATGGCTATTGAATTTGTTGAAACAGACAAGCAGTCGACTATCTTATAATCCATGATCTGTGCTCATTGTGTTTCAGAATCCTAATGTGACAACAAATTCAGATTTCCAAGAGAGCTACTTGAACCTGAGACAAATGGTGCTAGAGGCTGACACTGGAGAAGTGCACAAGTTACTACAAAGGTAAGTATGTGACACGATGTGGTGGAATCAGGTGCTCGTCAAAAGACCGAAAATCAGGAAACTAGCATTTTTCCGCAGGTTTTGGAATTTTTATCTAATTTTTTTTTTTTGCCTCAGCACCTTTCATGCTCTTTAAAGAACTCATTTATGCGTGCATTTTACTGAAAAACATTGATTAACGGCCTAAAGAATGTAAGTTGTCAGTTTCCACGGACTCTCCAGCTAAGGAATTAACTCAGCTTTAGTGGCCATTTTCTTGCTAATTTTACCTCTGAAACCAGTCGACCCCCACCTCCTTAAATCACCAATATCTTGACTTTTATGCAAGGTAAATGGATATATTTTAATCAAAAGCAAGGCAAATGGACAGGCTTTAAGATGATACCAATAACTCACTATGCTCCAAATTTGACGAGCGCCTGATTCCACCTATTGATTTAATCTCAAAGCGTGTTCAATTGTCTTGCTTTTGATGAAAACAAACAACCTATACATCTTGGATAGTGGTCTAGATATTTGCTATTGAAGGAAGTGGGGGTCGCCTGGTTTCAGAGGTAAAATTAGCGAGAAAATGGCCGTCAAAATTGGGGGACTTCCATAGCTTGAGAGTCCTTGGAATCGGAAAATTTACCTTTTTTTTGTGCCTTTAATCAACATTTTTCAGTAATGTCCTCACAGAAATGTGTTCTTAGCTGGACGTAAAAGGTGCTGAGCCAAAAAAAAAAAATCAATTATAATTGCGAAACGGGTGGAAAAATGCTGGTTTCTTTGATTTCACAACTTTGAAGAGCGTCTGATTTCACCATGATGCCTTACATATAACAGTCTGCTCTTGTGATTTATAAATAGATATTGCTAAAATAATGGACGAGATCAGCACACCTCTGGAGGGAAGAACTTGATTTCATCAACCCAAAAGCTGATTCATAAATATGACCTGTGTTCGACGACCTGTCTATGCATAGCCGATAAAAAGGGTGAAGGCTTTTAGAGGGTGGCATAGGTGTGTGTATATGTTTGTATGCATGTTTATGTATGTGTATATGCATGAGTGTGTGTGTGCAAGTGTGTGTGTGTGTGTGTGTGTGTGTGTGTGTGTGTGTGTGTGTGTGTGTGTGTGTGTGTGTGTGTGTGTGTGTGTAAGGGTATATGTGCTAATTGCCTTCAGTGATGACAGATGATCATTGGGAATAACACAACATTGTGATATAATTGTCAGTGTCTGATTCTAATTGTGTAACCACCTATATATATAGGTCAAACACTTGGGTGCAAAAAATGTCTTTTTTTTACTATTATATTCTAGAGTTGCTCAAAATGTTCAGTTGAGTGTTATGTGTATTTGTTATAATACCACCAAATGTAATTGTGAATGTCTTTTGTTTAGGTAAGAGTTTTACGGCGCTCACTACTGCTTAACATCACATGAGTGCACGATTGTTACTGTGAACAACATGATTTCAGCAAAAGAAGTGTCTGGTCTGATTTGGTGGATATAATATGGTTACAGTTTGTTACTGATGATATGTGAGACATCAAGGTGAAATGAGGTGCTCGTCAAAATGATGAAACCGAAGATATCGGGGGGGGGAGTTGATTGTCGGGGTGTGATAATGGTGATGGTTGTGGTTGTGCTGTTATTGTTGTTGTAGTTGTTTGTAGTAGCTGTGGTGGTGGT